TCATTCGTGAAACCTGAAATCTAAGTGACATTGAAGTAGTTTCTTTTAAAAGCTATTGATAACTTAGTAGAATATAATCCTTCAAAATCCCATGATACTTGGAAAAAAAGTGCTTGTCGTAAATTCTGTAAATGCGTACTTGAAAATAAAAATCGAAATCGTGTTATCCATCCGAAATTTTCAAAAGTCCTTAAAAAACTTGTTTGCATAACACTAACGAAACATTATTTTTTTATTTCCATAAAATTTGCATACACGTATACCTCAAAGTTTCGAAAAGACAAAATCAGTGAGCTGCAACAAAAATCTAGAAATCTGAAAGATACCAGTGGGCGTACATGTACAGGAATGATCGCAGACAACGTGTGCTGCTCGGCATTCTCAATTAAGCCCGTGCGACAGCTGTTCGCAATTGCTGTAACTTTTCTCGGTGGTTGGCCTTTAAAGTTGCCGAGGTTAACGTACAAATATTTCCTAGGTTCCGAAAGAATATAACTCGTCTGCACGTAATCAAGTGATATATAATAAATGGACGATTGTTCAGAACACGCACAGTTTGGTATCTTGACACTATACGTGTAATGAAAAGCATTCCCAAATTATCCGGTCATTGGTGTCTTTTCAACTATACAATAATTGTTCTAATTAGACAGCACTCGGTACACATAAATCAGACTAATTCGCTTACGACAAGTGTGTGAAATTGCCGCAATAGAAAGAATTCCAGTAATTGGTTTATATGCATATGAAAGAGCCTTGCATGTCGTAAAAAGTCAGCTAAGGGCGTTGCGGTTCGCCGACCCGGATGTGCACCTGTTAGCCACATACTTCCACGTTTCTTAAGTTTTTCATTTTCCAAATTCTATCTTGCGAAAGTTAGAAAATGAAAATCTTGGCCGACGTTCCGTTGAATGCGTATGCTAATGTGATGTTTTTCGACAACTAGCATCTTCGATCGATGTATAAAAACGGACTCATGCCGAATATAGCCAGCGGTCCAAATGGAAGTTTCCAAGTCATTTTCAAAGCGCCAAAATATCAAATGTAACTTGTTACGACGAGATATTCAATTTCAGACAACAATATATGAAATCCTCCTCGAAGTTTTGCGAGACCAGCCAGTGAGCGCGTGCTGCTTTGCTATTTTCGATAGACGGGCGTTTACTAATCTGCAGCTACAGTTTCTCTCTAATTGCATGCGTCCTTCGCGAGCGAACGCTTTACTACATCGCTCGCTCGCCGCTTATGTCGTTTGTCAACATCATTTCGACTTTAAATCTTTGAGCGCGTTAATACTTGTTAAAGGTGATTACTAGAGAGCGAATTTATTGTTCGTAACATTTCTTTGCTTCTAATTTTTCAAGAAATTAAGCAAATAATTCTTAATATTTATAAGTTTAAAAATACTTATATTACAGTTGAATATTTATAAAAAATGAAAAAATCATTTTTAAAAAACCAACCGAAGAATTCGACATCGATAAATAACTGTAATTTCAGTAGTCAAAGTGATAATGCCATATAATTAAGCAAATTTTTTATCAATTATTCATGCACTCGAGAAAAGTCAACGTCATTAATTTTAATTTTGTTCTACCTAAGAGAAAAACTTCGCTTCGATATCAAAATACAAAATTTCCCAGGCAAAGCTCGTAACAAAAAAGTAACATCTAAATTGAACGAAAGGAATAGACGTCAAAGTCAGTATCAAAATGAATAAAATAAAGTGCTGAAGTGCATTGAACGTGAATCGAGTCCAGAAAAGCGAAAATACATCATCGACGGAATCCGCTTGCGAGAAAAACTAAACGCTGAGCATGTACAAAGCATCATCCATGCAATTTTATGGCCAGCGTTTGTTCGATCGTTTTCATTAACGATGATGAGCACCGTTTTTTCTCTCCTATTGAAAGTGAAAAAATTATTATTGTTCATAAATTAACGACGTCTGTGTGCAAATCAGCATTTCAATCACTTAATATTTTACGCAATACAAAAGATTTATTTTTAGAGGAAAAATTAAAAGGAGCGCATATGTGTCCACACAGCAGGAAGTTAAGCTTTATTTTTCTTGGACTCGTAATCGCTTGGTAATGCCGTCACTAGAAAGAGAGACTCGCGAAACGACTTCAATTGGCGAATATACATATACGTTTTTTCCATACGCAACTCGTCATCACGTGTGTCAAGTTAATTGGATGTTGTAAGACATTTTAAACTTCAAGGTTCGACCACTATTTAATTGATAGTTTCTAATTTTTTTCAACTAAACGCACTATACTTGTTGCATTTAATTCCGATGCGAATACATGTGACTAGGACACGTGAAAATGAAAGGTATCAATGTGGTGAATCATCGATTCAATTGGAAAAAAATATTTTCGATTTCCTTTGTTATACAGTAATTAATGTTGAAGTAATATTTCTCAGTTTTTTCATCACATCGTTATTAGTACTATCTTTTCTAAAATAAAATTAACTTTTGAAATTCCCGTAATCGCTTATCAAAAACATTAACGTCCCACAGAAGTACTTATTCACAATTTATGAAAAAAAAGATAATTTATTTCAATTTTCCTAAAATCTCTTTTGTCATAATTAATAATATCGGCAGTTATGTAAATTAAAATAGACTACCTTTATACACATAACTAAACTGGAAGCTGCACACTCGCACAAGATAACAATAAACTCTTCGTTGCATCGAAGGCCTTTTATTTTTGATCATTTGTTTATGCTTTCATGCATGCGCAATATTTTGGCTATGTGCATCGGATTATTAATACGTCGCTGACGCGTCTACGATAAACACTGTGTGTGCAGGGAGATTTTCGAAAAAAAAATAATTCTTCGCCTTTTGAAGTTTGCGAGCGCAGTTATACAAGTGTATGATGCTTTGTCGCAGTGTCGTTTTTTCGCTTCATTGAAAATTATGAGCGTACGGTATTGAATTGCAATTTGCTGGGTAGAATGAATGCGGAAGATTTTTTTCACTTGCTATCCCAGTTGTTTGTTAGAATAAGTATGTCTCGATTACATTGATTTATTGCATTAAAATCCCCTGTATTCTTTACTACGCTAACTGTGTAATAAAATCGAAAAACAGCGCAAAAGATATTATGAAACTATCATCAAACTATGAACTTGTATCCACACACACGCTATTTCTCTTTGAACTACTTATACTCGTAAGCTAACCCACAAATCTCAATCTCAAAAGCATGCAAATCTCGCCTTGTAAATCATTCTCGCACTCAATCAATAAACCCGCTATGAGCGAGTCGAAAAAAACCCTCCCTACGATAAATCAGCCGGCATCCGACAAACACCCACTTCTTGCAAAAAATGACGAGACGCTCAAGACGTCGCGAAATTAATATCTCGCGCACGTACACGCTGAAGATTGATCGTCAAGAAGACATATGTGACGTCACGAGACTGATAAGTCCGCCACGCGGTTAATTGGATGTATCGTCGTTGTCGCTCGCAGGGAAGCCGTCGTAGAGCTTTTTTTTCTTCCGCGTCAGCGCCAATAAAAAGAATGTGTACGAATTAACAGAAGTGTTTGTCGGTGTGTGCTTGTGGGTTTTATTTTCTAGAGGCGATTTCATTTCATCGAAGTATGACAATGGATACGAATACAGATCAATTGATATGATCTTCCGGCACGGGTGAAGTTTATTTTTCTCTTTGATAAAGGGTGATGAATTACTTTTGGTCCGAATATTCTGTATTTTGTAATATTAACTCTCATTGTATTTATTTTCTTGAAAATTAATAGCTCATAACGCAACAAATTAGAACCAATCAGAAAGAATTAGACAACAAGCCTAAACGACATCAATTATCACATAATGCATGGTAAATTATCACTCCCACTTTCTCTCTTTCCAATTAGCATATATTAACGAACGTGCAATCAACCGAGAACACAAACTTACTTATCATCACGAATCAAATAAACAAACAAAAACAACTTTTGATTTTATCGCGCAACCATATTTTTCCTCGACAAGTTCGTCAACCTTTGTTTCTTTTCCTCTCGCTCGGCATTCAATGTTCCAGAGACTAATTGAGAATCTGCAGACAATAGGACATTCTTCCAAATTTTTCATCGTGAGGTTGTAGCAAATGTTTGCTTTAGGGAGAGACTAAAGCCTCGAGGGAAATTCTGTATTAATGTAGAACCTCAAACTAAATTGAAAAAAAAAGCGTCTGTGTGGCAAACGGGTTGCAGTTCTTTTTTTTTCTTCACACCGCCGAGTATATGAACAGAGCGAAACAGGTGAAAAATTGAGAGAGAAATGTAGGTCGATTGTGTGGAATCGAGGTCGCGCGATAGAGATTTCGTTTCATTTTGCTTACGTGACGTTGTAATCAATTTCGAAGATTAAATTGCACCCCGTTCACTGATAAACAGAAAGTAACAATTTTATCTCTTTTACGGGGGCTTTCTAAACCAAACAAAACCCTTTTAAAAGATAACCCTCACTTTTCCTCGAGTGAAAAGAAAATGCAATCGCGGCATAGCATCTTCGAGAAGGCCTCTGAGAAAAAAATAATAGTTCATTAACGAGGACTTCGACGACCTTGTTTCTAAAACTGGAGTACCTCCGAGCAAGAGAAAAAAAATTAAAGGGTTCCTCGGAAGTGTACACGTCGATGTAGATGTGTGCGCTCAAGGCAAGAAGAAGTTACGCGCGTGCGATATGGAAAAGTGCCTCGTTGGCGAAACTATTTTTCGTGTTATTTTTGGAATTATACTTGACACATTCTTTTTTTTTCTACTTTTTGTCTCTTGTGGTTTCTTTTTTTACTGCATATCTCTTTGTCTCGAATTCTTAGCATGTACTAAGGAGCTAGTCGTTGGCAAAGTTACAAAGCCTTTTATGCGCAATAGTAGACGTAAACTAATTAATTTCATTTTGTAAAGAAGAATACATGTAATTCTATAAAAAGAATAAACAAAAATTCAAGAATACGATTTTTTATTTGCGTAGGTACAAGAAATATTCGGCGCGATGAAGGAGCAGTCATCGTCGACGTCACGGCTGGATCGAGAGAAGGAACCTCCGCAACGTTCATTGAGCAGCGCTGCAGCTCTCACATCCATCGGCGCCGATATATCACCGAGTTCCTCGCACTTTTTTGAGGTACACATCTCCAAATGGAAAATAGTATTGCTCGAGCTTCGCGATAACTTATTAATGTTTTTTCAATAGGTATTGTATGTCGGTAAGACGAAAATCGCTCAAGCCAAAGTACCTGAGACGTTCATCGACGACGTGATCGTTAAATTTCGAAGTCATGGCCTGGAGAAATCGAGGTCGACGGCAAGCAGTCTCCTCGCCGAATGCAATCAGCTCAAGCAACAGACTAGCGCCTCCAATATTTTCGCTAACATTCGCAGGGATAGTATGGTCAGTATAGATAGATATACATGAATTTCCATTTGCTCTTGCGGTTGGAAATTCAATTTTACCTCTCGCAGTGTTAATTATTCCATGATTGGTTTTAAGATCGAAAGCTCCGCTACTGTCTTTCTGTCTCATCCAAGTTTAATTGAATTCCAGTAGCAGTAGCTTTGAATCAGTTTTTGAGTCGAAAGAAAGGAAGGATTACGTTGAGAAAGTAATTTCAGTAGAAAATTTTTATTTCTTTCGGACGAAAACATTTGGGAAGCTTATTCACGGGGTGTAGGTGTATCTGTATAAAAATTAGGGATTGTGTACGTAGGACTCGAATACAAGTGAGTTGGGAAGCGCAGAGAACGTGACATCACCCACGAGTCCGCTTTGCCCACCAGTAACTCTCACCGGATCAGTCGAGTCGGTCACGTCTCCTGTCACTGACGGACCAAGGAAGACAAATAGCATGCCACTGCCGGAGCTCGCCATGCGAAACAGGGCAGCTTCCATTGGTAGTGCTATGATCACCAGACGCGACTCGTCTGTTCGGGACAATGAAGACCTCAATCGGACTATGCTTTTCCAGGTCGGCTTTATCATTTTTTACTCTATCTTCTTTTTGTCAATGTAATTAATCATAAGAATCAATCATTTGTATGACAAATAGAGTAGCTTATGCAAAAGAAATATCTTTTGATCGTTGAATCATAGATTGTATTTCGCTTACCTTCATAAAATTTAGATTGTACTACGTAGCTCAAGTTTATAATGATCAGTTGATATGATGTCACAGCTACGAATTAAATTATGATAGATAATATGTTTATTGGAATCGTTAAAGCTAAATATAACATAAGAAATACTCAGTATAAAAAAATTTCATCTACAGTGTGTATTCACGGAAAAATAACGTGGCAATAATTTTTACAGGTCGGTCGTTTGGATCTAAGACTGATAAGTCCGGACCGTAAGAAAGTGCTGCTGCACAAACAGCTAAGAGACGTCGCGAGCTGCGTACAAGGCATAAAAAATCCGGAACACTTTGGCTTTATCTGTCGCGATAACAACATTGATCGCTTTGTCGGATACATATTCAAGTGTCAGTCGGAATCAGTTGCCGACGATCTTGTCGCAGGTAAATTCATAGATGATATTTGAATTGCTTTCTTTTTCGCTTCAATAACTTTTAAGGTTGATGACCGGAGAATCATTCGGACATTGCATATGTATTTCCTTTTAGCAATAACTCAAGCGTTCAATGCGTCCGCTGATGTGCAACCAAGAAAGGAGAGGCACGTATTCACTTGCGAGCATTGCCCCATGGTTTGGTACAGCAAATTGTGTCAAGAAATTGATGGTAAGCTTAAAATTTCGTAATCAAAATACTCCTTTCTGAAGCGTTTTTCAGTTTATAAGTAAAATCCAAATTTCTAATATTCTGAACTAAATTGCTATCTTTTGCTATTACTTCAAAATTTCGTCGAATTCTTATATGTAAAAGCTCTCACCTTAATTTTTATCATCATAATTTTTACAATCTATTATTCTTTCCTTTTAGGACAAAGTGATCGTAAAACTCAAAATATAATATTCTCGAGATTGGAGATGTTACCGGAGGATGAACAAGAAATTGTCGTGACAAAGTACAAGGGAGCAGAGGCAGCGAGTGGCACTGGCTCGGGTATGAATCTTACAGACCAGAATCAATTTTTAATGATGCTGCTACGAGCTCACTGCGAAGCCAAGCAGGCGAGACACGTTCATGATACAGCCGAGAACAGGTACATCTTTTATCTCTCCCTCTTATCCGAAAAAAAAGAAATCTCTTCCAGATAACTGACGTATATCCAATTTTTTATTCGATTTAATTCTTTTATTGAATTTTAGATTATGACGACGTTGATTCAAAATCCTGTATTTCTCGTTAATTACTTTTTATTTACAAAAATTCTTCTAATAAAAGTTTTTCCATGAAGTTCTTTGCTTTCGTGTCTTGCTTTGTGCATCTGTGTAAAAATGATAACCGTTTACATAAAAAGTCTTGTTTGCTCATTACGAAACTTTCTTTTCAATATTATATGCTAATTTTACAAATTTCTGATTATAAAAATCCTGTAATATAAAATATATTTTCCAGGAGCGAGTTTCTGAACCAGTACCTGAGCGTCGGAGTAGGTAGCACAATATTCATGAAAGCGAAAAGGTCGTTAACAAACAGCTTCGATCATTTGATGAAACGCAAAGGTTCCAAAGATGACTTTGGTCTTGGATCTCAAAACAACCTCAACAAAGTTGGATTACAAAGTCCAGTAGGTTCCGGACCGCTACCTATGGTCGACACAACACCAGACTCCATAAGGCCGAGGTCACTTAGAGTTTCACCGGAACAGCAAATGAGTATCAACGCGGCTAGTCCAAAGAGTCCTATGATGGACATGTAAGTTACTAAATTTTTTAATTGTCAATAAGCAAAAAATATATTTTCAATGAATATTGAAAAAATAATTTTTGGCTATCACAGATTTTTAAAAGTCGGTAACTCACCCAAAATGTCACCTACCGAGGGAGAAGATATCAACAAACAACAGCAAAATGGTTCCTGGCGGCAGGCAATTCTCAATCGCGTTGTCACGCCAGCCAAAGATCAGGATAGCAAAGATGCAGCTAAAAACGCAAGCTTGGGTGCCGGTAAATATCAATCGACATCAGCTGTAAAGAGAAGTAAAGAAGAGTTACGTGATCTATGGAAAAAAGCGATAAATCAACAGTTGATATTGATCAGGATGGAAAAAGAAAATGCTAGACTTAGAGGTATATATCACCGTAAATTATACTTGCAAAATAAAAGTATCCGTGTACTAATTATTGTTTTTTAATTTACAGTTCGACAAGAGGAAGCAACAGTCAAAAGAATAAAACTCGAATACGATGAATTGAACAGTTGCAACCGACAACTTCACGAAGTCTGGGATCTCTTAGTTAGCAAAGAATCTCGAGTGTCAACTAAATGTGACAACCAAATGTTACTTCAAGCAATTAAACAAGGTGTACCAAAAGCAAAACGTGGCGAAGTTTGGCAATTCTTGGCAGAGCAATTCTGCATGAAACAACCACCGCTAGATACTCGCGATTTCCCAAACTACAATACTCCTTATGAGCTACTACTTAAACAATTGACTTCTCAACAACATGCTATTCTCATTGATCTTGGTCGTACTTTCCCTAATCATCCATACTTCAGCTCGCCTCTTGGTCCCGGTCAACTGGCGTTGTTTAATCTACTTAAAGCTTACTCATTGCTCGATCATGAGGTTGGATACTGTCAAGGTCTTAGCTTTGTCGCTGGAGTTCTTCTCTTACATGTAAGAACTTAATAAAATTTTTTCACAGCTATCTTGTAACAGCCGAAAAGTCATAAAACATTTTTTTTATTAATGTAGATGTCCGAAGATCTAGCATTCTTTTTATTACGTCATTTAATGTTCCGGCGAGGAATGAGGAAACTATACCTGCCAGATATGGCCGCATTACAGCTTCATCTCTATCAATTATCGAGATTACTGCACGATAGGCTTCCATCTATTTATAATCACTTTGATAAACACGAAGTCTCTCCAACGTTGTATGCAGCTCCTTGGCTGTTGACTATATTCGCCAGCCAGTTTCCTCTTGGTTTTGTAACCAGAGTATTTGGTAAGTCACACTACTATGATGTAATTTTTTATTAGTCTTCGAAGGTGAAGTTTTTCAATTTTCTTTCTTTTTTTGCAGATCTGCTTTTCCTCGAATCGTCCGAAGTGATTTTCCGTGTCGCACTTGCACTATTGGAAGAGCATCAAGATCAACTATTGGCCTGTGATAGTTTCGAAGAGATTATGGAATATTTGAAGGTTCGTCTGATAGGTTTTATAAGGCAATTGAATGATTTTTCTTACGATTATATTTTGTTCACTTTTTGTAGACAAAAGTACCAGCAGTAGAAAAAGATACGTTAGACAGAGTAATGAAACGAGTATTCTATCCTGACATGGAAATAGCAAAACAGTTAAACGAGTACCGCGTAGAGTACCAAGTTTTGCAGGAGGAAATGCTATCTGTGAAACCACAAATCGAAAATATGGAAAAACTGGAATTACTCAACAAACAACTTACGCAACAAAATGCTCATCTTAATGAACAGCTTGAGGTACGTAATAATTGACGTTTAGTTATAAGAATTCATATTGAGAACATTCATTAATTACTAAATTTTTTAGATTGCCATGGCAAACCTTCACCGTATGGAGACAACACGCGCACACCATCAATCCACCGTACATCGCCTAGAATCTCAAACCCGCAGTCTCGAGGTGACAATTTCGACAATGGGATCGTTCATTCAACAGCTCATCGAATCGCAAACGGACATAGAGATACCAGGCGATGTTCGACGTATTGTTGCTCAACTATCACTCGCTGAAAAACGACGCAATAACAATTTGCGATCATTCCAAAATCGTATCGTCGAGGACAACAACAATAAGTACGACATGAAGAAGAGTAACAGCGCTGGAAAAGATGCTCGTCTGGTAAAAACTAACAGTATGATCGAACCACCATATCCGCTGAAATCCGCACTTAGCCAACCAAATCTGGGATCTAAATTGGAGAAAGTCTCCTCGTTCTTTGCTAACTCGCACAATCACATCAAACAACAACGTGCACAAATGGCAGCAATTCGCAGTGAGGGAAGCAATGAAGCCGTTAATATGCTGAATTGCAACGGGGCCAACGATGAGAATGATCCAAAAACTGTAAATATTGACATACAGATCACGGATACTGTGAGTAATAGTGGATCGGATACTAATATTGTACAGAATGATAATGGACTAAAAATTAATTCTCTTGCTGCGCTTGAGAAGTCGGTTTCTTTACCGAAGAATGCCAAGATACAGCTCAAGTCTTCCAAGTCCGCTTATGAATTGGGTAAGTTGAAAAACTTTTTTATGTTAATAAAATGTAGAAGAATTCATAAAATATTTCATTTTTTATGTAAACAATTGCGTAGGAAATGTTGTGTAAGTTGTAATATATTCTATTGTAGCCTAGATTACGATTATTTTCATGGTACTATTTTTGCATAGCAACAAAAATTAAAATTAATGTTGTTTATAGGAAGCGTCAAGAAAATTCTTACTACAAAATTGGAAGATACAAATTCTGATTCACTGACGAATCTCACGGGGACGATGCATCCACTGGACACGTGTAGCGACGTCAATTTCAAATATGGAGGTACGACAAAACTCAAGTCGATAAAATCAATACGAGCTGGAGGACAGAATGGTCAGAATGATAACAATAACAAGGAAATTCAACAGAATTCTCAGATACTAAGCAGATAGCAAATGCTCCTATTGAAAATCCTAAAGCGTAACTTGTCTGTAGATTAAACGACCGAACCTCGTCAATTAATATCTTTGCCATCAATTACTGTACTATTTCTTGCGATTCTATTGCCAAATATTAATTATATTATAAACGAACTTAACGGACAGGCGAAGTCGGTTTTAAATTATTTTTACTGCTGTGAGATATTTTCTTTTCTTCGGTATAGACGAGAGTATTTTAGATGAAAGAGCATAGGTAATAATAAATAGAAACGTAACGCGATGTATGCAGAAAATATATCATATCTTGAAAAACAGTAATAAGCAAAAGTAATGTTAGTGCCTAAGTTACAATTACGATAAGACAAAGCAGATAAAAAGTAATCGTCCGTGGCAATTGCCAAAATTTTACATTGCCATCGGTTCAAATGACTTAATGTGTACACAAATCTAATTCATTGGCACATATACAGATACAGAGATGGAACAGATTTGTAATTTTGTAAAATATTTTTAGTATTTGTAGAAGCTGAATGTAGATAAGCCATGGTATTATTCCATTTAAAATCGTAGTCATATACAAATAGATAAGTGAATTATCTGTTAAAATTATATATTGTAATTATATGATATACATAAAGGAATATTTAAAAGATTCATAGTTCAATAATATAAAGAATAATTTCAAATTAGTCAATGATAATAATAACAATATATACAACTAAGGACACGCTTACTTTTTTAAAGCTCTTCCGTACTCTTTGATAAATGTTTTAAATTCTTTTAATGAATTCGCGATTGAATTTGTTTTGTTTCATTTGAAACCAAGTTTTATAACTTTAAGTTATACTTAATTAAATTAAGACTGTTAACAATGACGAGTTTTCGGAGCATATTTAGATAAAATAAAGCAAATATGCCTAAAATTACTTAAATTATAATACTATGTATATATAGTAAATAAATTTACTATATATATATATATATATAGTAATGAAATTTATACTGTAATAGATTGTAGAATAAATATGTTTATTGAAAAACATAACGAAACGAAAACTTAAAAATGTCGCCAAAATAAGGCCGAAATAATATGACGATTACAAAACCGAAAATTAGGAGTTGTGTATCGTAAAATGTACGCCGTGAAAACTAAATTTAACGGCGTAATATAGTCTAGAATTTGTGATGTTTGTTGTAGATAATATCTTGTTGATATATGTGTCTATCGTCTTACATTATTGTAAATTAGATTCTATACTATATTTTTTTTCATCGAGCTTTGGATAGGAATAGCCCTAACAATTTTTATTTTTTTCTCCTTAATAAGAAACAAATGATGGTGTGCTTTGCGTTGTAAATTTCGTAATTTTTGTTGTGCATGATAATTTGTATGACGACACTTTTAAACGATGTGGATGATAATGTTTTTTTTTCAAATCAATTTCAATCTTATGTGAATGACCTGGATGTCAATTAGTTTGATATGACAAATGAGCAAAGTTCATTTGTTTACAAAATCATTTTACGTAATCTAATTAGAGGTCATGTAAATAAAAAATTTTTATATTGCTAGGAAATCTTGAAATTGAATTTTCACATACTTCTATAAAAAATCTCCGTATCTGTTTTAACCCAGACACGATTTACTTAATTTTTGTTCTTTCAAGCAACAAACGTGAGTCTCATCTTTTGATTCTATTGAATCGCATCGGTAAGGTGAAACTTAGAAGTATTCAGTGGCTATGGAACAAAATAAGAAAATCAAGTCTTCACGAATCGTAGAATTATCGTGCAAATAGGTTTATCGCTTAGAATCTAGTGATTCTAATTAAAAAAAAACTTGTGATAGTGCGAAGTGCTATGCTGTGGTTACTTTACGTGCTGGTTTCTTATTATTATTACTTTTGTTTTTTTGTTTTATTTTTTTTTATGTTACATATTGCAGGACAATTATGATTTGTTAGTTATTGTGGTTGCGAGAGAAAGAAACAGAGCGAGATATTATTAATGATACATAAAATGTCATGTCTTACGTGGCCAACTACAATCGATAGTCTTCAATAAAGAAAAATATGATTGCAAATGTTTTGTCTATTAATTCACTCCTGACACATATTAGTTCTTAACCATGTATGATTTTTCACTTTGATCTATCTATGTAATCAAGTATTCACTTTAATACTATTTAAAATTTCATGAACTTTTATTGAATCCAGTAATGAAAATAACATGTTCCTAGCTTGTATCATTTTAAATCATATACGAGCAAATAAATAAATTAGATATAATTTAATTATTCAAATCATTTAGAAAAATTTTTTTGAATTTCATTCCCGAAGAACGAATTTATTTATATGGAATGCGGTTTTATATTTGAACAATTAGTAGCACAATGATCAATTAATTTCCACATAAGTTGTTCTTAAAATTGCTCTTATAGATTTTTTAATAAAGGGGAAAACCAAGTTACAAAACGTAAATATTCCAACCGTACAACATTACTAACATCTTTTACTTCTTACCTTGGATTAACTTCTTAAGTACATTGATAAAAGTATTAAAACATGTATATTTCATTACATAAAAGTATTGTATGTTATTGTACTCAATCGCTTTTAATAGAAAATAGTGCAAAAAGTCAACGTTCATTTTTAGTATATTAATGTTAGTATTGATAAAAAATATCTACATTTATTTTACCTTCAGCATGTTGTGGTTTAGCTAGCCGTTATATTCTAAGTTAACGAGATTTTTTTCAATTTAATATAAATTAAGAATTTCCGGATAAAGTTTAATAGAGTAAGAAAATGCCGTGTGATATAGAACTTAATAATAATAATAATAATAACCTTTGTTTCATAGTCAATGTTAAATATGAAAATAGAGTAAAAAGATACAAGTATAGGATCAAATCATTCTTTCAATCTTGTTGAGGTCTCTTAAACGAAAAAAATGAATGAACAATTGAATTCTATTGAAGTAAAACTTCAGTAACCTTTCAACACAATGCAGACCTTTTATCAGGCAAAATCCTGTTCTTAAAATTAATGCTTCGTCCCCAATATGATTATTTGAAAATAGTCCAACCTGCTTACATTATAAAACATTTTTTTATAGTATTAAGAATATTTAAAAACTTCAGCCTCGTCGAACAAATTCCATGTGTAAATCTCGTAAACAATAAAGCAATTCCCCAAAATGTATTCACGCATACATTAGTACGAATAAAAAAGTATTTCTATCGGACCGGTTTCAATAATTCACGACTCTCTCGTTCCTACACGGGCATTAACAGTTTATTGTATTAACGCTTCGTCAGTTCTATTCGAAGAGGCCGAAAATCACAAGCGATTTCGTACAAAAGACGAAGAAAAGAAATTGTTAAACTTAAAGAGTTTAATCTGAAGTTCTATTGTTCTGTCCAAAGTCATCGATATGAAGTTAATCGTCTTTTCATTATTTTTGGTGTTATTGTTTATGAATAGCATCAAAGCAGCAGAAATTAAGAAAACCATCACTGTCGTCCCAAGCGCGACAAACGATCCTAAAAAGGCTAACGAAGCGCCGCGACAAAGTCATTGCTAGTGAGTGAAAGTCAACAAAAGTTTTTTCTAAAAGTAAATTTATTGTAGCTTTGAAAATGTCGATATTAAAACTTTTAAAAATTTCTATTTTTTAAAGTTCTAACCAATTCGAATGCTCGAATGGCCAGTGTATCGATTCAAACTTAATATGTAATCGCGAAAGAGATTGCAGAGATGGTAGCGATGAATCTTTTTCGACTTGTTCTCTTGTTAGTAAAATGACAACTACTACACCAAGGTAATATTCTACATCATATTTCTTGTAGATAATTAAAACAATAAAATAAGGGATTAAAGCAAATGTTAAATGTTCATTCAACAATCAAGTTATATTAAAAAATACCCATTAAATACATGGACTTTAAACGATGATAGAGCAAAACAAAACAAAGGCAATAAGAAGGCGTGAATACAATTTCTTTCTGGAAACGAGATAATATTATTCTTTAGTTTCAATTTTCGATATATTATTACCATTAATCTTTTTCTTCAACAAGTACGTATACAGTTTACTCTTTTCGATTGGACAAATATTGTAAGATGCTTTAGTTCTGGGTTCTTTTATTGTTTTTTTCCCATAGAATCGTTCAATTTGTATTTTTTAAACAACTGCCAAAGGCAAAATTAACAATTCCATATGTAAATGCACTCACATAAATTCCAAAAGTCACTGTTCTCGAAAATAAGTTTACCTGAATCGATTCACATGAAAGAGGTAAAAAAATTTCCAAACAAACGTTCCGTCTAATTTATTCATTTTTAACATGCAGATACGTAGAGATCAATATGGACGCTCGACCCGAGTTCACGTGTTTGAACGGTGAGTTTCTCTGCACGAGTGGTGAGTGTATTTTACAAAGTCGTATCTGCAATGGACGTCACGACTGTCAAGATGGTAGCGACGAAGGATCAACGATATGTAATTCAAATAAGAGACAATGTCTTACCACTGAGTTCCGTTGCGACAGTGGTGAATGCATTCATATGGAACTCAGATGCGACGGTTCCAATGATTGCTACGATTCATCTGACGAAGACTTTTCACTCTGTCATAGGATTATCAATCAAGGGCGTGAATCTATTGATAAGTGAGTTTTTTTTATACATACTTACGTTTTTATAGGATTGTCCATTACGAGTATTTCGACTTACAGCACTCACGGAGTTATACCTCTCGAAATGAGCAGCACTGATGGCTCTAAGAAAAAGCCTACTCCCTGCGTTGTCCCAATTCAGCCGACTAATGGATGGTGGAAGTTGCACCAATCGCAATGTGACTCTGGTAGTGAATGTAATCCACCAGATCATACGAGAAGCATGGATCCGGGCACTTATCTTGTGTACAGCTGCGATCACGGTTTCGCAATCAATGGTAGTAAAGATGTACTATGCGGACCTGGTGGTCAATGGATTCATGAGCCCAAATGTGATGGTAAGCATGTATGTTCAAAGAAAATGTGAATAGAAGCTGATTGGGTTTTATTTTTTAGAAATCAGATGTCACGAGCTTAGCTCCTCTACGACCGAAGCTCTCTGCACGTGGAACAACGTAGCTGTGTCTTGTGAAATTCCAGCACCAGTTGGTACAACTGCTCAACTGAAGTGTCGCGAAGGTTTTATGCAGGACATTACATTCGAGCAAGTCTATAAGAACGTCAAGTGCCAAGCCGATGGAAAATGGAATCCTCAACCTATTCAGTGTAATAAAAAACCTAGAAAAGTGAAGCTTATACTGGAAGGTGTGGCAATTTTTGAGGATTAACTTTTACTATTTATTTTAGTATAAAATGTATATTAGCAATTATCGTATTACATATTAATTCCGTATTGTACAGGAATAAGAACATGTGTATCACAAAATTTTACTAACCTTTAGCTAACATTATTTAAAAATTTTATATTACGTTAACAAGTAAACCTATCCATGATGAAGTTTATATTTATCTTCTCAATGACGGAGTTATTTCTACAAGAATCTAAACATTTGGTAGCATTAAAAGTAGAATCAAATAGAATAATATATTTGGTTTTATCTCATTTACACCAACTAACTTTAAGCTTTAATGTACTTACTTACGTATGTATGTACTTAATTATGAATATATATTCTTAGAAAAAAATTTCTAAATCTTTATAATGGCCCTACATATTTCGACATTATAGAAAAAATCTATGCTTTTGCACCATTCAGGGTGCTGATACAGATTGAAATTCATTAGAGTCTTCCCCAAAATAAATTCTTGATCGTTGTCCACCCTACGTTCAAAATTTCAACTACAGTGCGCATTATTGTACACTTCAGCTGTAACTCAACAACTCACGGCGAAAATTGGAGGGAAATAATAAAAATATATGAGTTTAAGCCATTATTGAAAGTTTAGACACGTTTGAAAACATCAAGTAGTGGGCAGCCTAAAGTATACAAATTCTGCAAGGTATTGTACAAATCTTGTACAAATTTGATATAAGGTTCATACGAAATATATATATTCATTTTTGGTGACGTATATATTTCAGACTCATGTAGATTCAATCACTTTCAATATAGGGAAATTTTGTTAATTATTTTCTAGTCTTCGTACCCATGATAAACTTGAAAATCAAATCCACAGTCTGGCATTTACAAACGATACATTCATATATACATTAGCTCAACAACTTATTCTCGAACCGAGCTCAATTATGCACGTTTCGCTCGTGCTTTGCGAGCATTTACATTTCAACGCATTACCGCGTTATCGTCATTGTTTGAAGAGTCCCACCTAGTCAAGCAAAAATCATAAATAATCCTTTGCGAAGAGTATATAAGCCGGCAAATTAAGTTGCACATTCTTGTGTGAGATTTTTCTTGAGCTCATCATCATGAGGAGTTTTGTGATAGCATCAGTTTTCACAGCTCTGATCGCATCAGCAATCACCGCGTCGGTAATCAAAAAACACAATTCAACTACGCGTGCTTCCAAAATTACTGTCGCCCCAAAAAAACCGATCGAGTCAACGAGACAGAGCCGTTGTTCGTGAGTAGAATGCTAATACATAAATTAACATGAGACCAACTAACTTACTCGTCGACTATTTTTTCATTATTTAGCTCTGCAACTCAGTTCCAGTGTGAGAACGGTGAATGTATTACCACAGCTTTGGTATGCAATGGGTATAGAGATTGCAAAGATGGCACTGATGAAAAGTTCTCCATTTGCTTTTCGCCAGGTGGCCGTCAAATCACTACCAGTACCAATAAACGATAGTAATGATATTTTCATTTATATTTGATATTGCACATTACCAATTTTACTTACTTATAGTTTATTCTGGTGAATAATACGATCGATTTCAAAATCAGCCAAGTATTCTGCCTGTTTTACAAAGTTTGCATTAAAAAATGTAATTACTAATTTTTCTCTGTGAAATTCAATTCCCGACAAGTTCACGTAAATCTCAATGATTCTCAATATAGAAAACTTCAACAGTCAATTTGATACAATTAATATTTAACTTTAAACTGTTACTACACGAGCATTGTGAAAAAAATAACTCTTCTTACGCCATTGCCTGTTCTATATGTAGTGGTGGAGTTGGCGACCGTGGTGCCTTTACTTGCGCTGATTATGAATTCTTGTGCACCAGCGGCGAATGTATCAACCAACAATACGTTTGCGACAGAATTAATCACTGCAGTGACGGTAGCGATGAGTTTTCTACTATCTGCCCTAGTGGCTTTAATGGTAGTGGTAATAATGGCAGGAAATGTCTTGGAACTGAATTCCAGTGCAGAAATGGTGAATGTATCTTCGGTGGATACAGGTGTGACGGTATCGCACATTGCTTTGACAGCTCCGACGAGGATTGGTCGATTTGTCAAAATGTCGTAAAAAAATCAGAATCCTCCCACAGGTGGTATTTTTATTTATTAAAATGTCTATTTCAGTAGAAATTGTAGCAGCCAAATAATGAAACTAATTTATTCAACAGACCACTGATACTCACGAGACCTACAGGAACTAACCAAAGAGATAACAATGGTAATCAAGGAGGTAATGATACTTACCAAGGGGGTAGCGGTGGTAATAATGGTAACAATTGGGAACAAAGACTAATTCGATGTAATATTCCACCTCATCCAAGTAACGGACGTTGGAAGCTACATAGATCGCTCTGCGACTCCAATATCGAATGCAGGGCACCTTCTGATATGAAAACTATGAATCCGGGCAGTTATCTTGTCTATAGTTGTGATAAAGGCTTTATGATCAATGGTACTAGCGATGTACTTTGCGGTCCTGATGGTCAATGGATTCATACGCCTAAATGTGATCGTAAGTCTTACTTTTCGAAAGTTTTCTGAACTGATTATTATTCCTTTCATGAAAAGAACAAATATTAATAAAACGTTAAATACAGAGGTCAAATGTCCGGATTTGAGCTCCTCGACGACTGAAGCCCTTTGCACGTGGAAAAGCACGATCGTGTCTTGTGAAATACCCGTCCCAATAGACACAATTGCTGACCTTAATTGCCGTAAAGGATTTGTTCAGGAAGTTATGTATGAACAGGCCTACAAGCAAGTAAAGTGTCAACCCGATGGCAAGTGGAGTCCTAAGCCTATTCGATGTGTCAAGAAACCTAGGAAAATTAAGCTAGTATTAGAGGGTGATATGATTATTCTTGGAGAGTGAACATCTGTTGAAATTATGTTTACGTTTATGCAATAAAAAACATAAATTCTGTACTGTACTAACTTGGTGTAAGATATAATTTATTTCTCTTTTCAAATAAATAGATAAAAATTTTATCCAGTAAACTCTGAGCAAACCATGATTCTGTAAGAAATGTTATGTTAATGCCACTTGGACACCAGTTCTTCATTTTTAACGTTTTTTTATACATTTTAATAATATATATACATATAGCAACACACTACCGAAATCACAAATTACACTTTCACAACAGTTACTAACAAAAAATGTGAAATTTGAACTTTACTTCAAATCAATGAACAATCATTTTGAAACATATGGATGGCAGAGTGATAAAATTTAGTGGTAACAGAGATTTTATGCTAAATTTATGAATGATAAAATCAAAAGAATGAATTGACCGTTTTCAACTCTTTGTATGACAAGTAAAAAATAATAAACATTTTGTCTTTCATGCTTTTATCATAGTATTATAAATAATAAAAATTAAGAATAGAAGAGGAAGAATTTTTCCCGCGGAAACACCATAGTCACAAAACGGCTGTCCCATGACGCTCACTATTATACCCCTTCGATTTCCCCTCCCTTCTTTTACCGCTCGCATTGGAGTTCACCGAACCCCCTCTCCGCGATACATCCGCCGGCGGCAGCGGTAGCGACAGTGGTGCGTTGCGGCGTCCTGCTCCGCTATAACACACAGAGCTGCCAGTATACAACAGAGAGTCGGCTCTGTTACTGCAGCAGTCGGCTGTTTTTGTCATCGTGTAACACAGTGCCGCGCGCGAAAACGAGCGTCGTTTTCTCTTGTGTGTTTATATATGAATGTGCTGTGTAAATAAAAAAACAAATTACCACAAGACTCACGAAAGTGTTGGCTTTTTCTTTTGTGATATGAGTGTTGTGAACGAAATTGTTGTGTTCGAGAGCTGCTGTTCGTGTACTTTAATTACGTCTCTAGAGTGTTACGGAAGGAGATGATTGTTCACACTCGGTGACCATTTAAATAATTACTCAGGTAAGTACTTACTTCCCTTAATATATGCTTGGGATTTTCATTAGATAAACCGCGTTTAACGTTGAAAAGTGTGAGAAAATACTGTTGCGTTTTAAGTAACTTCTGCGAAAATAAGTTCCGTTGCGCGGGATCGCTTTTATTTTGGTGAAGTTCAAGGAGTGCTACGGTCAAGGTTCGTGACAAGATCGTAATTTTATTTCCCCGGTATTAATTTTCTTTAGTATTTTCATTTCAAAATACAGATAGTGTAGGCATTGTATAACGCGTTGAAGAAATGTAATCTAGCGTGTGATAAGTTTGCTTGAATGATACGTACAAAATGTAATTTCATATGACGAATATTTTTCACGGACACTGTGCCAATTCTTTGAAATAATTTCATCAAAGAATTAACATATAATGTCGAAAATAAAAGTTAACTGGTTTTTATAAAAACAAATTAAAATAGAAAAGTCCGTTTTTACAAATGACTTGGTAAAACAATATCGGATTATATCGACCAGCTGTCGAAAAAAATACCGTCATAAATGACCAGGTCAACGTTCTGTACGCAAGATCTGGCAAAAATTCTCAGCAAGATAAAAATGATACTGGTCATTTCGAAAACGGATCGCCGCGAAAAGCCGGTGTGTTTCTAGATGGCCGTAAGTTTAGTTAACGGTAACAAAAGTGGGCTTTGAAGATCTTACGTGCAACAAGTGAGATACGATGACTCGGCTGCATCAATGAAATCATAAACTTTCATTGCGATAAGATAGCCACAAGAGTACAGGATATTAATGACACCTCCAGAGAACGAACGGTTTATAAAAGATCAATGTTGGAATCGTTCACGTGTGATAAGATTTGCTGTTAAAATTTATTCGATCTAAGCAGTTGGCGTGAAATCTTACAACCGTTAATTAACATTCTCTATGCGACAAGTCTTCGGCAAAGGGCAAGCAATGTTAAATAAGATAAAGCACATAATTAAATGAGATTGTTTGAGTGATAGCAAGATTATTTGTGAGGATTGTTCGAAAAATTTATTTACAACTCATTTTAATCAAATTATGTTTTTGTCTAACACTCCTTTCTGTCTAAATAATCATACACACGCGCACGATTCGAAAGTGATCGATTTTCATAATTTAAATTGTATTTATTATATAATTTATAACTAATGTCGATAATATTATAATTTATAATAATTTATTCGAAGTGCAACGGATGGCCCAAGACATTCATGTTTAGTTATTGATTTTATTACCCTCATGGTGTATCTAATTTTACCTTATATGCATTGCCTTCGTCACACGTCAAATGAGAAATGATTTAAATTTGAAATGTTTCATCGTCATACAACTATACTATTTCCTAAATATTATCACATGCGCTAAAACCAATACAAACGTATTTTTAGTATAGCAATGCCAAGAACGTTCGAAATGCGTAACAACATTTCTCCGTCCAAAAACTGCCTGTGCAAGTCTTGCTGATGGTCGCAAAGTGCAATCTACATCAACTTACTTTGCGTGTCTGGCCGGTAGCCAATTTTCCGAAACTCCCAATTAAACTGGCGATCGCAGATGTAAAACAAATTATCGCATAACAGTGGCTGCGTCCCTCTCTTTCACGCCTATTGGCCTTGTATGCCTCGCGGAGATGTAGATAAGAATCTGAGGCAACGGCCGTCGCGCCGCACCGTTCGATATACCTGCAGCCTTTGCAATATAACCGCAGTTTGAACAAAGGAAAGGTAAGCTAATTTGCTCTTCTTGAGATTGTCATTTTGACTTCTGCAGCAAGTCTGTTCTTGTTGGTTATTCGGTTGATAAATTGGTCATCACACAACTCATGTATATTATACACGTTATGTGTATATTATAGGGCTTTAAATCAAAGGATACTCGTATTTTTCGGTTGGTATATTAAACTTACATAATCGTAAATTATATAAATTATACGCTACGTATTCTAAATTAATGTCTATTTTACTGTGCATTCCGTAAAAAAATACGCGCAATCTTTGTAATTGATAGCATGAAGATATTTCCTAGACATAAACTGTTCGTGATTCATGGAACTTTTTAATGATTTCGGAAGAACACACGTATTCATTTTGCTCATCGCGGGTTGTACATCGTTATTTATTGTATCTTTATTTTTATCTGCCAGTTGTCTTCTGTAATTGTCCTTGATACAAAAATGGCTATAGCATTGAAGGTAAAAACATCAATCGTTTTAGTATTTTCCACTAATTAACTCGAAAGCGTTGCTACGCTAAAATAAAATAAAATTAGGTTTCGCTGTTTTCGAAACACTTAAAAAAAAGAAAGCTAATCGCCCATGAAATTCTTACCCTGAAACCATCTCGTATATACCCTACAATCTCGTGTCCCAAGAAGAAGCGGCGATATCTTGGCCTCGAATCACAGCAGTCCGTGTTTCTCCGGCGGCCTTTTTTTTGTTGTATTTTTCACTTGTGTCCGTCTTTCGGCACGGCTGCGCTTTCAAGTATGTCTCTCCTCTCTGCCTGGAGGAGAGATGCTGCTTCTTCCGTGTATATGTATATATATATATCGCTAACGATAATCTGCCACCGTGGAGAGGAGAATATTGCGAGCAGGCACGAGAGAGAGGTGTTAAATGTCGGCTAGCTTCTCTCGTTTTTTTTTTCTCGGTAATTCTTGGCGATTTTCGAGGTGCGATTGCGCGCGCACACCACTATTTATCGGCTGCGATGATTAAGCTGTCGAGATCGAGATCGCATACCACGTCGCATATTGTTCCGAGGGGCACGGCGAAGATACTCCTTGGCAGCAGCGCGCAAACTTGTCGCGCTTCGCTTGCTGTCCATTCGCGACTCGCGGACGAGAAACAATTGCATCTCGCGGAGGAAAAGTCGAGCTCGTTATAATCGGCCGAGGCCCTTCGATCGGTAACTTTGTGCCTCCGGTTCTTTTTCTTCCTCTATCCGCAGCACTCATTATTTGCTTGTTGCGTTTTTCTTCTCTTTCTCGAACGGAAAGCGAGAAGCGGTACACCAGGTGGCCAGGGCATGCCCCGCCATTTACGGGATGCAATTCAAGCCTTCCAGATTTCGCGCAGCTCGAAAAGTTTCGTGGAGAGTTTTGAGAACGTAAAATTGGATTGGATTAGTTTAAAATGAGATTTTGCTTCTTCTTTTTGATTTATTGGAAATTTAATTGAAATTGGCCAATAGAGTAACATTAATTTCAACGGAATCTTAAAAATCCAGCTGAATTCGTTCTCGTTGTTCCGAATTCAACAAATTCGTTTGGTCGGCATATAGTAACCACAGACGCGACCCGCGAGACGCAGCTTTTTTTCTTTGCTCTTCTCTTCATTTCAGAATATAGATCCAGAGAGCGATCTTTTTCTCTGTCTTTCACTGCTGTTTGCTCAGCTTGTCGACCGTGTGATTTTGCTAGATCGCAAATGGCTTACTTCTATTTTTCACCCTCGGATATATTTGAATATATCTTGCTGTTCGATGAAGCGTTTGAATGTGGTTGACTTTAGCCTGGTTTTCTAGGGTGAGAAGGCTTATGAGTGGTTACGACTTGTTGCGATGCTGATTTAGAAATTCATCTTTTCAAATCAAAGTCTTGAAAATAACATTATTTTATTCGTACATTAATTTTGATCATTTTTATTTTACTTCCAAGATTTCTTTGTCTGTCGGTACTTTTTGATGAAATTAAATTTATTCTCGCTTTTCTGTACAAGGGACCGTTCGCACTCGTATCTTTCTCAGCAACTTATCCATTTGAAACTCTCAGAAAGGAACTACTATTTAAAGTAAGCATTCAAAAGACGCACGTAATGACTCAGTCGCGTCTGAATCGGTAACTTGCAACTCTGGAGAGCAGCATCCATCTCATTCACAAAATCAAAGTACGACAATAATTCAAGCAAAGTGCTTATCCGCTCGTCGTCGCCGATAAAACTACAAAGCAGCTGAATACTCTCCTGCGAGTGAAACAACGAAGAAAAACTACGGCGGGAGATTCAAAATTGTCCATTTAGTTGATCTCTCGGAATAAAGCTCTATCTACAACTAAATACTTTTAATGTTGCAAGTAAGAAGGTTGGAAAATGGCGAGCGTTTCTCCAAAGTATTTCCTGGATTTCTCTTCCAAAGAAAAGCTTTCGAGCCGAGCAACAAACGATGCGCCAACGGCCCACTAATCGTCGCTCAAATTTACTTTGGAATATGAATTTTACAGATAGCTCTCGACAAATACACTTTACTTCTTCCTCGTTGAGAGCTTGAATATTTTTCAATTCCTATTGTACGCATTGTTTTCTAAGTGTTCATCTATGCACACCGTGGGCCCACTCTACACGTTATTGGTGTGTGTGTGTGTGTGTGTGTGTGTGTGTGTGTGTGTGTATATATATATATATATATATATATATATATATATATATGTATATATATATATATATATATCATTCCACCGTAAAAAGAAAACGATGAAACTCGCTTTCGAAACCCATGACTAGAACTGAACGACACGGCGTGAGTAGGGATGGAAGAATATTATATATCTGCTCCGAGTATCCGTCTGCAGTATACAAAAGAGATCGAGAGGTGATTCACGTCGTCGTTGCAGATGAAGGGTCATTGTTCTTCGGCTCACATAACGAGAGACTGGACAGTCGCGTTATGCGGCGAACATCATACTTAAGCACTCGCCAGTGTAATATCTCTCAAGTGCAGCCCCATTATAAATGACCGAACTCCTTGTGCGTGCGCGCGCGAATCTTTCTTCGAGGAGGTGCATTGTCGAGGAATTATGACGTGCGACTTGGGAGGTGTGCGCGTGGGCTCCTTACGACCGCTGCTTTTGTATGACTGATGCCAGTGCATCCAACTGCGGTTTAAATTTTTTTTTTTTTTTTTTTTTTTTCGAGCTACGCTTTACTTTTTTTGTCAACTGAATGCAGCTTCGCCAAGTGGCGTTTTCATTGAATAGTAATTCTTGGCGTGA